GGACAGTATGGCTATGGAATTTACTAACCACACAGTCCAGAATCAGGTGATTAAGTCGCAAAACTTTAGCTGCATTTGGTGGATTAAGTCGCAAAACTTTAGCTTCGTTTAGTGGCGCCATTTACTCCAGGTAGACGGCGATCGGTTTCGTTACCGGCTGGTACATTTCTTACAAACATCCAGGCAAAGGCCAGTCAAAGTTGAGACGGGAGCCGGGTTTTTATCGATGTTTGCCATCCTTATATGTGAGCCATTGTAAATTCATGGTTTGCCGGAGTTACGTTCAATTTAAATCTCCAAACTTCTGTAGCTGAGATATTCTATGAATGAAGGCTTGTATCGCAGGCTAGAATTTAAAAACGGGTGACCAAATAATTAATTAGGTGCTAAATGTTGATTTAATGCTGGGTAAGTTAAAAACAGACATTCCGTCCGAGTGGGACTCATTCAAACATTTGAGGGGGTTCGCTATAAAAGGGGGTTCGCCCTAACCATAAAAACCCCCCTGGCTACGGGCCTGTAACTGTAGAAGTTATTGTTTGTGTTTTAGCTTGTTAAATTCTTTTTTTTTTTTTGTTAGTTGGGATGTCGGTGTTTTAGGCAAGTGTAGGCCTCCTATTGTACTTCTTTGAATCTTACAAAAAAACGAAAAAAAAGCAAATGAATGCTGTTAACGTACCGACTTTTTTTTAATAGGGCCTATTATTTGTATTATTTTGCAGAATAGATGGATGGATGAATTTAAATTTATTTCCAGTGGGGTCCTTCTGGTAGTGATTGGGCAGTACACGGGATACAATCTCCTACTCTTTTCCGATGAGTGCACTGCGTTCTTTAACGTGCACATGGGCAATATTGCACACGGGACCAACGGCTTAAACGTCACTCATCCGAAAGACAATGCGCTTTTGAAACTTGCATTTCAGCCCTCTACCTGAAAAAAAATTAGAGAGCAGCGATGGGAATGAACCGTGGACAAAAAAATCTCCACGGTTAAGTTCAGCGCACACGTACACCCAGTGGCCCATCAATTTAGCCGACTGAGCTAGCTGCTCTCATAAGTAGGGCATAATAGGAAGAGGTTAATAATATACAAGAATCATCAGGCCTACGTAAAGGAAGATTAAATTGATGATGGGATTTATGAATGCATTGATTATTGAAAATTGTAATGACCATCAAAATTAATTACTATCTAATTAGAGCTCTATAAAATTAAGTCAACATGTTGGGATATTGAATAATGTCTCTGTTTTCAATGTAAATTCTCAATTACATATGATTATTGATTACTTTAATGGCCAGTACGAAACTAAATGTGACTGTATTTCCCATTACACGATATTCACATTTTCGCAACGACATGTCGTGCATCCATACCGATTCCGAATTTTCGGGATTTTCCGGATCCAATCAGAAAATCGAATCAGTGAGTAAGAATAGGGACGATGGTGTCCAGCGCTTCGGAAACGCGGCCCGAATGTCGGTTCGGATTCAATGTGAATGCAGCTTTAGGCCTACGCAGGGGTGTATCCAGGATTTTTTCTGGGTGGGTCGTGATCATAATTTTTTTGACCTTTTCACAATGACATAACAGCGAGATGTGATTAAAATATCAATACAATTTGCTTGAAGCGGATGGCAGGTAGTTTTAGAATTGAGATAGATTGCGTCACATAATTGGCAAGGTCTTTGGACGCATTGCTGGTACCTCATCAATGCTTTTTATTTTATGTCATAGTGAAAAGGCCCTAGAAAAAAATGTCTTTGGAAAAATTGTGGACCTTTGAATTTTTTTGTTTTTTTGTTGAGGGGGTGGGGGGGGGGGTAGGTGGCGGTCGTACGAGTCTACGACCTTCCTGACCGCCCCTTGGATACACCCATGCTACGTATGTGGAGAGAAGAATTTTGAAAGAAATCTATATAAGTGGGTACTTCAGACGTTTACATTCAAAACCGGTTAAGGAGCGCATTATTGAAAATTGAGCCTACAACGAGGCTTCATTAGTGTCAATATTCTTTCTGACGACCTCTTTATAACCCTTATTATCATCATTGTTAAGTTAGGATAGCCACTTATGTGTATCTATTTAATTTGTTTCAATGGTCGTTTCAGTAGCAGAGGCTTTATTTAACTGCTTGTCAATTTATTATACCAAGTGTTTGCCGATGTGTACAAAATAACTTCCCAAAGCCTATGTTTAAACAAGCGGTCTAGATGTGTATAACCATACACTATACATACATACAGTATAGTTCACAGTCCTCTAATCTGGACATACAAAATATTCTGTAGAGAAGTTACGTCGGCCCTAGTCCATATTCTTTTGAAATCCCTGTAGATAGGCATTTGTGGTCACGTCTATTTTCTATAGGCCTATATAAATGTCTAGACAGTTGAATGAACGCGATATTCTAGTTATTATAATTAATAATATTACCGGTAATGTCAATGTTGATGAGACGGTGATGATGGTGATTATGATGACAATCGTGATCACGATGATGATCATGATGGCGGTGGTGATGATCAAATAATAATCAATGTATATAATTCAGCGAATAAGTGTTCTTCTTCCGAGGCCGCCGTAAACAATATCTAATATGCATAGTGTACACCAGATGTGTAGAATGGAATTGAATAGCTTAGTGGTTAAGATGCTTGCCTTCCAATCCCAGGGTAGTGGGTTCAATGCCTTCAAGTCACGGTAACAGGATTTTTTTTCTCACGATGTAGAGAATCATGTGTTTATGTTTGTCTTGTGAAGGGATATGCCGCTTTGAATAGTGATTAAATTCACTGTTTGGCATATCTAAAACCAGTTAACAAAAATAAATAAACTAAACGGTGAAAACATGCAAATATAAGGGGGATGATCCAGAGATGTCCGAAAGAAGGGAGGGGCGAAATAGGACAAAAAGTGGGGCCGATCAAGACAACAATACTCTAGGGGGTCAGGGGGTATGCCTCCCCCGCAAAATCTTCGTTTTCTAGACGCCCGAAAATAACCTTTGAGGCGTTGTAAGCGAATTTTTTTCTTTCTTCTCCCCACCCACCCTAAATCCGTCCCTGAATATAATGAATTTGCGGGGTATGGGTTAATTTCTGGGAGATTCTTGCTTGCTTGCGGGAGGCCGTTACGATTTCCAGGAGACTCCCACGAGTTCCGGGAGAATTGGGACCCTGCTTGATTCGTTATGATATCTTGCATCCGCTACAACAGCGTTCCGTTTAAACAATGCAAGCTGTGGTACAGTATCTAATGGTCGGCTAAGAACAGAATGAAATTGGAACCACAAGACCAAAACCACAGTGAAAACTCACTGCTCCGAACCACCTTCCAAAATCTAATAAAAAATTATTATGTTATGTAACATTTTTTAGTTGGCATATGTTATTATATACGTCACATATTTATTAGAAATTTAGAGAATAAAAACAATATTAGGGCTATTGAAACAGCTGCAAGTACCGAGGTTGCTTCAGTTTAGTAAACGTACGGTACTTTCCAATTATATCGTTGATTAGCATCGTTGTACGTAATACCATCAGTCTGACCAAACCGTTTATTTCTGACCCGTATTCACCTATCGATTTACTTGAAATTCAATTACTGATATTTGATTTGAAACCGAATTCAACTTCGCTAAACAATTTATTCCATTTTGTTCAACAGCAACTGCAATTATCAAAACAAAGACGATTCATTATTCTTTTCTGATTGTCACAAAATATCCTTTTTTTCTGTTATAGGTGGTAACTATTATAATTATCACACAAAATTCAATATTAAGATCATCATCAGCAGAAGCAGCACCACCACCACCATCGTCACCAGTATCACCGTCGTGAACATCACCGTCATCATCCTCATTCTCATCATTGTCATTTTAATCATCATCATAAACAACTTTCATTGACATTTACACAAAATAAATCATAAAATAAATATATAAACCATTCACAAATCCCAATATAAAGATAGTTGGAGGAACTTTGGTTTGAATCTCAATTTCATCAATATATTTTTCTTTAATAAACTGTTTATCGTCTGGAAGTGTTATCGACCACAGTGTTTTCCAGACATATTCTTCTGATAATAATTCTCTGTGCTTCACGCCTATTGGGTCTTTTCAAACTTATTTATTACTTAATTGAAGGCAAGATAATTCAAAGGCATGTATCATAAGATTCTTGGTTCAAACACTGGTGTGTAGTATCTTGGTCAACATTAAACGTCACACTGATAGTGGATATATCATCTGTAAGATCCAACGCCATATTTTCGATACCAAGTTCGTCACTGTTTTGCATTCTGGTGGTACTTGGCAAAGTGTTCGTCACCTGATCACTGTGAACTTCATCATTATTATTATGCACAGATTCTGGTTCGTTCGTTTGCGCTGATGATGACGTTATGACGTCTGGGAGGAAATCAAGTGAACGTTCCGTTTCATCAATAGATTTCCTATTGGTCGTCATGCCGTTGATTGATGATTTGGATTTCATGACTCGAATCACTTCCTGGCGCCAACTTCTTCGTTCAAAGAAAATATTATCGTCTGAAAAAATTATTAAAAATATTTCCACTTTAGATCCTGATTTGACAAAACCTAAGGACAATCATTAATATTGTTATACTATTGAAGGATCAATATTTCATATACCGTATTCATTGCTTGTCAGACTATTGTATTTCTTGTTTGTCTACAACAATTCGTCGGTCAATTTTTAGGGATGTCGATCGCTGGTAAAATGTAATATCTGAAATGCTACCGAAATCAATAAGTCTAATTACATAAGATAAATGCTCCTTATAACGTACCGAGTGGTTTTGTATAACTCTTACAGAATAAATAATAGAGAAATAATTTAATGAAATACAGGAATCCTCTTCTATAGGTAGTATTGAAGCAAGCATAGACGATCGGATTAATGAAAGTGTTGGCGAACAAGAGACGAAGAGCAGTCACCATAAAGTCTTGTTCAACCAAGGTGCCAATTTGTGCCAAGATGATTGTAACCTAAAATAAAAACAAAGATCAAGCAAAATCTGTTGCAAGTCAAATCTGTTCTCGTAAATTTAATGTAATATTTTACTATGAAAATTATTAACTTGATTTAGCCCACAACCAAGTGATAAGGAGTATGTTTCAGTTTCGAAGAGCTCAATCACCAGGCACAGAGGCTTTTCAGCATGATGCGCTATACAAATTCAACTAGGCCTATTATGTTATAACGTTTCTGGAAAGAGGCAATGGTAACGTTTGAACACAGAGCACGCAGGCCCACTTATCTCTCTTTTTTAGAGCGTTTAGGCCAGGGTGGGCACTGATTAAGGAAGTTTGCCGGTATCGTAGGGATTAGCACCCCCCCCCCCCGCACCGCCAGGACCCATCCCATGATTACATTCCAAAGTGAGTGCAGCGCTCCAGCCCCAATGCACATGTGGAGTTCGGATATAGCCCAAACAAGAGAAATCTATTAATGAGGACAAAAATCTACCCATTTCCTAATTAGTAAGAGACGAATTTAAGTCTTCCAAGGGCTGTCTCTTATACACATCTAGATGTGTATAAGAGACAGGTATTAAACCATTTTACTGTATATCAGTGGCGACACCAGCGAAGGTGGGGGGTGGGGTGGGGGGCTGTCTCTTATACTTCTATAGGTAGTATTGAAGCAAGCATAGACGATCGGATTAATGAAAGTGTTGGCGAACAAGAGACGAAGAGCAGTCACCATAACGTCTTGTTCAACCAAGGTGCCAATTTGTGCCAAGATGATTGTAACCTAAAATAAAAACACAGATCAAGCAAAATCTGTTGCAAGTCAAATCTGTTCTCGTAAATTTAATGTAATATTTTACTATGAAAATTATTAACTTGATTTAGCCCACAACCAAGTGATAAGGAGTATGTTTCAGTTTCAAAGAGCTCAATCACCAGGCACAGAGGCTTTTCAGCATGATGCGCTATACAAATTCAACTAGGCCTATTATGTTATAACGTTTCTGGAAAGAGGCAATGGTAACGTTTGAACACAGAGCACGCAGGCCCACTTATCTCTCTTTTTAGAGCGTTTAGGCCAGGGTGGGCACTGATTAAGGAAGTTTGCCGGTATCGTAGGGATTAGCACCCCCCCCCCCCACACCACCGCCAGGACCCATCCCATGATTACATTCCAAAGTGAGTGCAGCGCTCCAGCCCCAATGCACCTGTGGAGTTCGGATATAGCCCAAACAAGAGAAATCTATTAATGAGGACAAAAATCTACCCATTTCCTAATTAGTAAGAGACGAATTTAAGTCTTCCAAGGGACATGCGAAATGCACTGCGATGGTTTTGCAGCCCAAAACCTAAAGTTTTGAGAATCCAAACACCTGCTGCATTAATCACTTCAACAGGCTAACTTCCTTTAAAAAACCTTTTAAACATTGAACCATACCGAGTTTTAATGCCATACTTACGAGATATGGAGACCAGAAGATGACAAACATCAGACTGATCAACAGTATTATTCGTGCCGCTTTCCGCTCTTTCTTCTGACGTTTTCCCAGCACACTTAAGTTGTTCTGCAATATGGCAGATTGCCCTCCTGAGTTACAACAGGATTTTCCTTTATTAGAATAACGACAGAGCTGGATCGCCACGACAATATTGCAATAGTTGAAAACCGTAAGTCCCAAAACGTATGTCAATCCATATATGACAAGAATGGCGATGTAATAAGTCGAAGACGTTGACCAGTTATTCATACAGATATACCAGCCTTTTATGATCCCGATCGTATCCGAATAACCGATTACAGTTACCAATGAACTGCCGAAGCTAAATATAAATATAATCATAATTCCAAGTTTGATCCGATATGAAGTTACCATAGATCGATAACGTAGAGGTTTTACAAGAGCTATGTATCGATCTACGGTTAACATCACGAGTATGAAGAACGAAAATTTCAGACAAGACCAGGACATGTAGTACTGAATGCCACAAACAAGCACACCGCCGACCCAGTGCCCGGCCACTAAGCTAACGACGGAAAACGTATGAATCCCGAATACGTTAAGTAAATCACTGAACGCTAGAAATCCTATCAGAAGATCAGTGGAACTTTTTTTCTTTGTAAGTATCTTGGACGAAACAGCAATAGACAACATGTTACCCGTTATTGCTAATGGTATCATTACCGCATAGAATACACTGTTAGCTATAACCTCCCTTTCGGTTAAAATATAAGACAGGCTATTGGCACTGGAGTTTTCCATTGACAAGTTCATCCATCGATATTCTCCAGATTCTGCATTTGCGAGATTCCAATCATCAGTTACGTCGGCCATTTTTCAAATGTTTGAATATTGACCACTTAATATAAAAAATGCACGATCCACAGGAGCCCTGTGAAGAAATTAGAAATATAGTATTAGGGTTTAAATGAGGGAAATAACAGTGAAAATTAAAAAATATTCACATCATTAGACCTATAATATCTCCTCAGTCAAAATTGACTAGCAATGTGCTGAGGTGTGGTAAGCAAATGTGAGAAGCTGATACAGTAAAAATATACATAAAAATACGTCAGATTCGCCCAATGCCTCACGGCCCCCTATCTCATCAAGAGACCTCCAGTCCTCTACTTTTATGCCACTGAAGACAACATGCTTGGATATTAATAGGCCTAATATAAATCTTAACTTTCAATTACACCTGATTATCGATTAGGACATATTAATAAGGTTTCTTACAATGGCCAACACAACACTATGTGATAATATCCCTAATGATAACACTCTCCTTGTATACAGTGGTTATTCAATACGATAATTAAACATTTTCAGAATGAATTGTTACGGTGAACATTTTGAAACAAGTAGTTAGATTGAGCAGAGTAGGCCAATTCTGACGCGGTTAAAACTTCCTTTCGAAATTAGGGAATTAACGATGTGTCCTTACCAGTTTCGTAATCTCCACAGCTATTCTACGTTATAATAACGTTATAGTTTGTTATAACGGGGTTTTTTTTTGTACAACCCTAAATAAGAGCAACCAATTAACGCTGCAACAATGTTCGAACATTGTGTAAAGGTTATTTTCTGATACACCTAACGACAATTTTCGAAAGTTATATAAAACAACATTTTGTAATTTGCTGGGCATATTTGTTTACTTTAATTATTGAAAGTTTAAGGTGCGCCTTGGGGGGAACTATTTTATTCATTCTCAAAATTAAGATATAGATTGGAGATTCTGCTATTGATTTTTGCGGTATTCTGTCTGATGTGCTTAATTTTTGAAATTCACATAGACTTATTTTAGGTTTCCGTTAGGTGATACCCGCTCCTGACAGAATTGGCCTTTTTGTCACCTCTAAAAAAATCAAACAATGAAGGTATATCAATTAAATAATCATCAGGACCTGTCAATAGAAAGTGATACTTGGTTTTGTTTAATTTAAAAAAAGGAATTATATTTATTTAAGGTAGGCTTATATCAAATCAAATCAATTCCAATCAAATCAAATAATTAAACATTTATTTCATCGTATTAATTTTAGATTTCTTTAATATCATTAGGAAGTTTATTCCAATAAAATGAATCTTGACGGTTTACAAAATAACTGTCATAGATACAATTACTTACATTTATGTAACAGTATTAGCTAACATGTGTCATGATTCTCGTGACACCATTAAGTAAATTAGCGAATGATAAGCAATATTGTTAGATATTGAAACAGCTGTTAAAAGAGCTGTGTATAAAAAGTAACGCTGCAATTCAATTCAATTCAATTCAATTTAATGGATATCACTTTCGTAACAGTGGCACACTTTGAATAATACCCAACGGTGCATCCAAATATAAGAAAAAATAAACTTAAACTAGGAGTAAATTAAACTAAAATGTATATGCAAAGTAAAATTTATCAACATGGCATGTAGGCATATGTGGTATGGTAGTTTTACAGTACCGTATTATTTACAGAGTTGCAGTATGAATTGTAAGTATAGAGCTAGAACTAATAGACCAAATATGGGTTCATATTTGTAACTGCTGACTAAGGTCGCTTTGGTATTATTAGGCAGTTTTCGCCTAGTAATGGACCTGTCCGCTAAGCCTCGCCCCTTGGATATTGTTGCTAAGGTCCCCACAAGACTACGCATTAAAAACGCGGAACACGTACCTTTGTTGGACTAACAGAATTGTTCAAACGGTGGGGGTGGGGGCGCCACAACATATTCATAATAGATAAGTGAGAATGCTAATTTCAATATATGCCTTGAAATTTTAAAGTTTAGTGGCAAAACGGGGGCACATCCCCCCGTTTCCCCTACTTGATCCGCCCCTGTGCCTGTTAGACACGCTTGTATGCCTGGCACTGTTCTAATTGGTCAGTTGCTAGGTCAATTCCTCCCTGGGTATTGTAAACGTACTTTTGAGCTAAAAACCGAAAGGTCCACTGATTAATCTCAGATAAGATAGTATAATACATACTCCAAGTATCGAAATTCACACGATGGTGTGCATTTCGATACTTGGAGTATGTGTTATACTATCTTAGTTAAGATTTGCTGATTGGCATTTTTCTGTTACGATCAGTCTACCTAAACATAATCTGATGCTATCGATTATTTAGAATGTATTACAATTACTGTACTGATTTTTGACTTGAAACCAAACTCAACTTCGTTTTTAAGTGCCACCGATTTGATAGTGTATGCTCTAATATATGTATTATTATTATTATTATTATTATTATTATTATTATTATTATTATTATTATTATTATTATTATTATTATCATTATTATTATTATTATTATTGTTGTTCATATTATTATTATTATTAATATTATTCGAAAATAATCATAATATTGTATGCTTCATTCATGTTCCTAATATTAATTATTTAATGCCTGCGTTGAGCGCGTTCGTGCACGAAATTTACGAGATAAAACACAAATTTACTCAAGAAATGTCTAACAATAACAAGGTTAACTAAGCAAATTTTGTATAAATTTGCTTTCAATTTACCCCACAATTTACTGGTACTCTGACTACTCATGCTTAATTTTGTACTACACGCTGTAAGTATATAATGTAAATAGACTATACGTCTGTTAGACATTACAGAGTACGTTTACTTAGTACGATACGTTAGCTTAACTTATTCGTGGTAACGACATTTGGCACAAACATAATGTCTCAGTTTGTGGGATGTCACGCGATGACGGTTAGCGTGGATATATATATATATA